AGTCTTTATGCTAACATATGCTAACCATCTCCTGGCTCTAGCTTATTTAATGCATAGACACGAGAGTTGTATCGATCTTCTCATGAGCCTCTCAGCAAGAAAGTGAATAAAAGTACTTCCCAAAATGTAAATGTAAAACTATTCCACTATGATGCAGTTTTGTCAAGATAATGCAAAGATAATCATCCCCTTTAATAGAACTATTTCGTTCTTGACAGTGAGCTTGGTTACGAACGATCATGTTTTCTTCGAGTAGTAAAAAAACAGGGGAGAGGTAAAGGTCCATATAAATGTTGATTTAGATAAACACCATTTCCTCAGTATAAGTCCATTAATACATGCACAAACGTCCCCCCCTAAGACACACACTCAAACACACACAACCACTGTGTAAACCGTTCACCCCGTCCGCAAACACACACGCACACACGACACAGGTCTTGAGATAAGGCTGACCGGTGGTAATTGTGGTCTCTATTACAGTAAACGCTGTTCTCCCTGTGTAAACCACAGTAAATTACATCCAGATGGGAGATTAAAGCTCGCTGAGTAGACGGCTGCCCCGAGCAACGCTGCTCCTCCTCCTCCTCCGCAGGAGGAAGGAGAAATCCATATTTCCTGATTGAGGTTGAGACTCTCCCCTGGGCTGGGACATTACAACTCGAGAGAAATACCACAACAATGCAAATAAAAGCCCCATCAGTCAGCAGGTCACTACCACTGCATGGGCTCACATGCAGATATGTATAACTAGGAAGATGTTCAAGTGTGTGAGCGAGGCAGACACACAGGGTGGAGGCAGGACTTGACTTTTTAATGTTAGGTCGTTGATAACTCGAGCTGCATCCTGACAAAAACTGAAAGCCACACTCTGTGTTTTCTGTTGCTGTTAAAGAAAACAATCTGCTTATGAAACCTCATTGTAACAGCTCGAAATGTGACATCACGCCAACTCTCGCTTGGCTAAATATGAACAAGAACAAGAAAAACACATCTTGAGCACAAACACAGACACACGTGTGCGATGCCAATGGTCAGACTCAAGTCTTGTTTTGTTGCCGGTGATGATGTAAAGGAAACACCTGTGTAACGTCACGTCCTCACAAACACAGACATGAGAACAGAAGGTGAGGCTCATTGCCTTCTTTTTTTTATTTGTTTTTGCTCAGTGACATTAGGAACATGCTTTCCTGGAGAAGTGATGAGTAGAAGACAAATGAGTTGGGCAAGAAGCGTTTCCCATATCTGGTTTCTGTGATTTTATTTGAAGAAAATGCTGTATTTTAAAAGAGAAACCAACAAAGAATTTCATAATCTCATACCAAAGAGGCTTATAATTCTTATCCTTCGCTGATTTGCTTAATATAATGGACTTTTTTTTTGGAGGATTTGAGCTGATTTCTGAGTAGTGCAGCATCTCCAGCACTGCAGTGTTTCTTCGTGGAAAGACTGACTAATGTCAGTCGGGTTTGGTTATGTTGATGCAAGATTTCACCTGTATGTTTCACACACACAATCACAATGACAGTAAAGGAGAAGGATATGTACAGCATTCCAGTGGTTTTGTGATAAGGTGGGGAAAGTTATGAAATGGGCAGGAGGCAACAGGTAGTGCAGTTATTGGCAAAGCTCCTTGAATGTGCAGAGTGCAGTGCAGATAGGAACGGAGAAGGGATAGTAACACTGCTGTGGCTTAAACACAGACACATACACAAACACTGCATACACAGGAAGTGCCAATAATACATCAAACAGGAAAATGGAGAGTGTCAAGGAATGTGAGCAAAATAACCGGTGGATGGCAGTTATGTCATATTCTCCACCAGACAGCCCTGGCGATAGGGTGACCAAGAGGCCACCATTGTTTAGAAGGGAAAGCCAGGTGCTTCCACCGACAGTCAAGAGCCATACTGTATATACATGGGACCAGAGTTTCATGACAATGAATCCCAACTGCACATATTAACAGAGTGCACATATGACTCACCGTGATGACAGAGGGTTACATAGTTCTATCAGCTGCAATGTTGATGTTGGATGAATCACAACATTAAGCAAAAATGATCTATTGTGAAATTGTTACTCACTATATGACACTTAATTAATGTGGTACTTTATGCTTTCATCTGTGATGCATCATTTATATACTCAGCTGTCCTAACATCTCACCAAGCACATGCCTGTACATGACCACTGCACTGACATTATTTCCACTATTTCTCCCAAACTATAACAGCAGTGGCTGCTGGCTTAGTGCTGTGCCCTGTTTGCTGTCGCCAGCTAAGTAAAATAAGATTAAAGCAGCACTGATGTCTCATTTTTACAATGGCACAACTACAGTCACTGCTAACTTTCAACAATGGTTCCCAACATGGCGTTTGAAAGCCCTAAAAGGGGTCACAAGATAAATCAGGAGGTAAACAAGATTATGTTTATTTTTTTCAGACATTTCTCTTATAATTGATTTCCTCTTGTGAATACCATACCCTGATCATTTCTTTTTTATCTCAGATGGCTTCTAAGGTTCTAAGGTCGTAAACTAGTAGACACAAGTAGACTTTGCTTTGTCTATGAGGTCACAAGCCCAAAAGTTTGGGTTTCACCAAAGTAGACTAATATTACAATGTTGCAACCACAAGTCAGTATGAAGATGTGATGATGAAAACAATATGCAGCTACTACAATTAACATCTGCCTTATTTCATCAAAACATATTTAAATGACTGAGGATTTCCATTTATAAAAGAAAGGGATACACTACATGTTTCTACCACACACGTATGCACACACACACACGCACACACTGAACTCTGCTGTAAATCCCTGGTAGTAAAGCAAAATGATTAAGAAGTTAAACTTAACCCCACCCTCTCTTGGCCGCTCCATGTTTCATAGCGGACATGAATGACTGCATGAGTCACAAGGCTGCTGACGGCAGATCCAGCTGTGACAGAGATGAAGAATCATCATTATCAATTAGTGGCACATATTCATGGGTTGAGAATCCCAAAGAAAGACATTTATAAATAGCATTGCCAACCACATGGCCAATGTTTGCTTTTTCCACTTTGGTATTCCAGTCTGACAGTTTACTGCGGGAGCTGGCAAGACAGACACCCACCATAACAGTCTCATTTTGTCACTGTGAGTAGAAAAGAGCTGCTAGTGTGAGTGTCACTTGTTTGCTTAAAATGTGAAATATTTAGTTCCTCAAACATATTCAAGCCTAAAAACCTCAAAGTGTTTGTTTGCAGTGAAGCAGTAAAATAGAACAATCTTTCCTTTTTCAGATGATCCTTCAACAAAAAGCCATTAATGGCAACTGAAAGGTAAGAGAGGGACCCAGAGCTCACAAATAACAAACTCAGATCCTCACAGACCGTCTGCATGACAGAGTGGACGCTGAATTTCTGAAATGAACCGTTTACATTTGCTGTCAGTCTTCATGGCAGCGGGGGGCCATTTAGCCTACTACATGTTGAGGGCCCTGGATTTTGTCACTCCTGTTTTGACTAAGCAGGCCATGAGCTGATTATGAGGATTAGTGGAGATGTGGTGATCCCATGCCTCTCCCACTCACCCTCAACTCAGCAACAGCTGCAAAGTCTCCAGTTAGACAATCTGGTGGGACATGGAGCTTTTTTCCAAACTTGAGAGCCTGACTGAGTCTGTGTGTAATACTTCTATATGTGGACTGCAGCCTGGAAAAAGGTAAACTGCTGCGGTGTTACTTTTAGTTCGACAGGCAGCAGCAGTGTATGGAGTGTGACAGTAACAATGAATGGATGCAGGAATGGACTGGTTTTGCATTAAACATGAGAGACATCAGAGACAGCTGCCAGCCCTCAGCCACCTTGGGAGGAAATCAGAGACTGAATGGGTTCAACAGCCCGAGCGTTAGTTGGCACAAGTCCTGCTGTCCACTGCACATCTTCTTACAAGTGTCTCAACAGCGCGACACAGGGCCTTTGAAAGAGGCCTCACTCCAGTTTCAGCTCTGTCCTGTTCTGGCACATTTTCATTAAAAGACTAAAAGGCAATGCCAGGCAACAGAGAACAGAACGGCTTTGTACAAATCCACTGTCGCCTGACAGTGATATGACTAGCCTGAAATGAAGCTTCAATAGAGTTTTACACACACACACACACACACACACACACACACACACACACACACACACTGGTTCATCTTCATTGTCCTGATATTTCACCCTGCATTGTATCCATTTAACATGAAGTTGGATGCAGAGATAAAAGACAGGAAGGAAGAACTGTCGGTGCACATGCAAAGAATTCAAGACTAAACTTTCTTTTCACCTGTTTTACCTGCAAACACTTTATACAGTTATTATATAGATATTATATAGATATTAGATTATATATCATACAGATATATTGTTATACAGATACTCTAGGTATTACCATATAGATATTTATAGAAGAAGGGATTACTTAGACAACTAAAGTAGAAATCAGAGCATTTCCTTTATGGAAATCTACAGAGACAAAGAAAAAAAAAAGTCCTCATCATAAAGGAGTGAACGTAATCCACGTCTGTGAAACTGGCCCTTAAAGCACGATGCGGCTGTAATTATGAGCTCAGTAAGCTTCGCCAAATAAAACAGTGAGTCACTTTGCATCATGTGTTCCACAGGGAGAGTGATGCAGTTTGTCACGTTCCGTCTTATGAATGAAATGAGCAGGATGGCGCTCATTCAAAACGGTGTGAAGGTGTCAAAGCACAATGGATTGTTATCACTTCATTATTAACAGTGTTCTGCTGACTCAGGCATTTTCTGTGCACATTTGACTGATAGCAGACTATTAACATATCTAACAATTTGGACATTTTTTCTTACTTTGTTGTTTAAATAGCAGACATCACGGAACACGCACATAATCTAACTAGAGAGAAAATCTTTATGTCACAGTCTGATTTAACTCTGAAATCATCTCCTTTTCAAGTAAAGTAAAGTTTCTCTGAATGTTAAACTTCCTACCTGTGCAGGTGAGAGCAGCAGATAAAGCGCCACCGCAGTCTCGATGACAAAACCGAGTTTCATTTCGCGATGTCTGCGAGTGGAGAGGGGGGGCGGCGGCTCCCGGTGCTCACAATAAAACAATCCAACAAAAGAGTCCCAAAATACTCATAAAGAAAAAAAGATGCTGACTGAGAATTTCCAAGTCATCTGCTCCCGCTTTGGTGTAGTGCTGGGAATGAGTGCAGTCACGTAGCTCCTCTGCCGCGTGTAACCTGATGAAGTAGATTGTGCTTACTAATGAACAAGGCCCCGGAGGCGAACTGGAGGTGCTGGGACAATAAAATAATACACTCTCAAAAAAAAAAAGAAAAAAAAGTTGTTTTTATATTTACATTTAAAACCAACTGAGTCGAAGCACAAAGCTTTAAAAAAAAAAAAAAAAAAAACAACAACTATTGTTTAAAACATGAAATAGCGGCAGCCCCGTTTTGACAAAGTAAAAGCGTAGTGTGTTCAGCCCAAAACTGTTGATCCTCTGCTGAAAAAAAAAGCATGAAGTTGCAGCGACAGTCTCAGTTTTCACTCCTGCTCTGAGCTCCAGTCGGCAGAAACACACACTTGCCTCTAATTGCCCCACACTACCTTTTCACAAGCTGGCCATTTAAATCTCCTCCCCTTCTCTGTCCTCCTCTCTGCCCTGCTTCATTTGTCCTCACAGAACTCACCGATGAGGTTTTTTTTTTGTTTTTTGTTTTAAATATCCCCTTTAAGCTGCAGCTTGTAATGGTAAATCATGTGATGCTGTAAATGGTTATCACAGAGCTTTCGACACTGCTGCTGATGCTTTATTTCTGATTTCTAGACTATACAGCACAGGTGATTTACACCACAGAGTATACACAGACCTGCTGAGAAAACTTCTTCTGAGGACTCTGTGTGAGAGCTACTCAGGAAGATAAACATTTAGAGATCTTTTTCAGTGGTGACATGGATGGTATACTCATTGCTGGCCCGGGCTCCAGGATGCAGGGGAGATTTTCCTCTGGAGGCTTTGGTGTTTAGTCAAGTTTGCAGAGACAGAAGGGGAGATTCCATTACTGTTGACACATAGAGTTAATCTTCAGCGTGGGACTTCAGTGTTTGCAGAAACCCCAAAATCAAATGGATTCCTCGTGGGCTTCCACACATTCCTCCAGCAGTGCTCAATACACTCCACTGCCTCCTGCTATTGTACAGACCACACTCAGGAGTGTGGGGTTTCTAAACATCTCAGACACTTTAAGCAGAAGTAAGCCATCTCACCCATTACCATCTAGCCGTCCTGGCCGGAGCATCAGTAAATGCAGACAGTCAGGGATGATGAAAGACATTTCCTCTAATTATACTGGGCAATATTACAGTAGTCTTTACCTAAATTGTATCTCTACATTGCAGTGATGGATGCTCTTCAAAAGTCAGACAGAATGGAGGCAAAGCAAACTGTGATTCTTGAGGGAATTGGACTCCACAATTATTTTGTTTTAGTCCTGCCCTTAGTGTTCTCACTGAGCTGTCATTGTCTGGATGGTGAACATTTTCCTGTACAGCAATATAAATCTTCTCCTTCTAACTATCTAATTATCCATCTTATTGCTGAAATATTGCTGGTGCAGATGAACAAGAGATGGCCCAGAAGCTGTTTTCTCCCTCCTAAGTAGTGAGATTAATACCTCCACTTTTAGAAAGGGTTACGTAAGACTATAATGATGTAGTGCAAGTCAGTTTCATGTTTTGTCTGAAAGATATTTTAAATGGAAGACTTGAAGATCGTTGCTTCTCCTCCCTGCTACAGCTGCCACACAGGCTTGTTTGTGTGCTCAGCAGACAGAACCAGACTCTTAACGCCGTCTCGCCATCTGCTCAGTGATCTATCAGTGTTTTTAAAGGTGCACCAGCTGATGGGGCCTAATAAGATCACAAATTGTTTACACTATAAATATAAGCTGACAGGACAAACAAACCGGGCTCGAGTGATATTGTACTCCAGGGGAGATGGATCTCTATGTTGTCAGAGTGTGAAACAACCTTGAGGCCCTCATTGCTTTTTACTAAAACCACAAAGCTTAATGGTGTTAACCATGTGTCTTGTCTTGCTCTGTGTCAAACAGTTTGGTTGGAGAAAAAAAGGGCCATTCCTTTTTCGGAGATTGGATATTCATCTCCTTAAAGAATTATTCTGAGGCGACGCTATAAATTTAAATGATGCCTCTTTAATGAAAACATGTTTTAAAAAAAAGAAATAGTCTGCTGTTTTCTGCCTGCTGTACAGATGGACTATAACAGGGGGTAGAAAGACTCACAATTTGCTCATTAATATCAAAAATGTTTGAAAGCGTTCACTGATGGAAAATAGAGACCAAAATGTCAGCTAAGCCTCGTCTCTAATTAGGTTTAGCGATAAGGCCTCGCGATTGAAGGAAGGTCAGCTGGTCGAATGAATAAGTCCCTTGCAGTCTGCTGTGTCTCTTCATGTTGTGAGGACCAAATGGGTGGCTCTCAGGAACTGGAGTGCCAAAGTAAGCACATTTCCTTATGCTGTTGACCCCTAATTTTCCCAGATTGCAGAGTAAAAGGTAAACAGATGAACAACATTAATGATGTCCATTCATCATTGTTGGGGCGACTTCGGTTTCCTCCACAGTGGGGCCTTGAAGGGGAAGGTGGAGAGCCAGAGCCCCTTACTTTGAAGGATCTCATTAACAATAGTTAGAGCCCCTCAGGGAGAAGAAGTTAGTCACAGTGTCACTGTAATTCTTATAGATTAATTAATCCTTGTAAGTATCATTTTATGGTGTGGTCCAAAACTGTGCCAAATGCTGAATACATATTTTAGACATGCGAACCAAAAAAAGAAAATGCACAATTACGGGAGGGACAACCTGAACAAGAGGATTCTGGGAGATGATGTAAAATGATTTTACTCATGTTGAACCACCTGGACAGCAGACCCAAACAGGATATGGCAATATTTAACACCCAGACCTCTTTTTTCCTGCCATTAATTAGCTGTGACCAACCATGAATCCTTTCCTCCCACACCGACTGTATCATTGTGAAGAAAACTATATTTAAAATAACTGGTAAATAGGAAGTGCTCCAGCCGTGAGTAAAAAGCTGCTTACTGTTACCTAAGGTGATTAGCATTATATCACAACAAGTTCTTTCATTTAAAACATGTCAAATCCTGTTTACACTTCCATGCCTCATTGACATATTTATGTCTGACATATTTTCCCAAGGTTGTCAGGTGTCATCCTGTTTTCATGCTCAGTCTGTTGTTCATATGTGAGCATTGTTTTGTTTTGTAGGAAGCCAGTCAACATGTTAAGAGACAATTGGAAGTTATTTTAGCCTGGAGGTGTCATGAATCAGTCACTGCAGAAATCTCCGGATACTATTTAACTTTATGCAGCTGTGTCTTGGACATCACAATGTCAGTTGGCAGTGGTAACCACAGGCTAAATGAGGATTTAATTCTTGATGTCACAAAAATATGGCTCAATTTATCATGTTTAATTTGAGGAGCAATTACAGCAAACCATACCGTAAAATTTGAATGGAAAAGACTTGATACATTGACATTTTGGGAAATATTCCTCTCTTTCCCAGATTTAGATGAGAAGATTGATACAGTCATTATGTCTGAGGAGCTACATGCACAGCCAGGACTTGATTAGCCTAGCATAAAAACTAGAAACAACTAACCTGGCACTGTCTAAAGTTAAAAAAAATACTCCCACCAGCACCATTGAAGCTCAGAAAGTGTTCTGTTTAGTTGGTCAGTTTAGTTTAATGTGCTCGAGCTTATTAAATGCAGGATGGATGGATGTATTTGAATTGGTCAAGAAGCATTTACAACATGTGACTTTCTCTAAAACCACAAACTGCAGTTTTTTTAGATTTCTGTTTGTGTGCAGATTAAACAAGCAGGAAACATGTTAATCAGTGATCTTAAGAGATATTGATGGGGTGATTATTTTTAACTTAGGAGAGAGCCAGGCTATCTGTTTTCCCCTGTTTACAGCCTTTAGGATAGGCTAGTCTAATTGCTGGCTGGCTCTGCTGTACATATAGATGGAACAGTGCATCTCACTCTCAGCAAGAAACTGAATTTCCCAAATTGTTAAACTATTTTCACATCCACAGACAGAGAGATTTTGTGTTAGGATCTCTGTGTCTGTTTGTGATTCTGTGCACCCCCTGCTAACTGTGCAGGGAACCTGGTGCAGCAGCAGCAGCAGAAGCAGCTCAGAGAGAAAACTGATTGTTTGTCTAAAATAAAACTTCATCACCTCCACACAGTCCTGCGGTTGGTAATATAGTGAAGGAAAAACAGCACTGAGATTGAGTTATTGCGGCTTGTGTCACTGCCGGTTAAAAAAGCCGTTAGCTTTATTAATGAAGAGCGGGCAGTGCAAACTGTGCGGAAGTGGTCCCGCAGTCACAGAGCAGGTTATAACTCAGGCCTGTGGTGATACTCTAAAATCCATTAAGAGATCCCACATGTGGAGCACATTCACGAGTTCATGGGTTGGCGCTGTTGGTGGTGGTGATTCAGCCTGGACCATTAAACAGATAAATGAGATGTTTCTAACATCTCTCTCATGCTAAAACATTCTCTTCAAATAATAACCACCAAATTATGTTTAATGTAAATATAATTTAAAAGCCAGCAGGTGTACTCAGATTACTCTGTAAACATGCTTCCTTGAAAACCAACAGGATCCTTTCATTCAGCACTCTGACATGTTATTAAACGAGATAAAGGAGGCTGAGGCTAATGGAATACTTTTAATAGTAAATGTTGCACTGAGATTGATTGGCAATGAGATTAGATTTATTCCTAGAAGTGGTAGACTCTTGAGTAAACATGAATTCAATCAGACAGCGAGATTTACTGGACTGCACTTGCACTTGAGTGCTGGTGTTTATTTTTTCAGTGTACAGAGTGATTTTTTTTTTTAAAAAAAAACTCAAATTAGTTTATCCTCCCTCAGGGGCTTTGTGTAAGATTTTTTAAAAGGTTTTCTCAATAAACACACACATCAGCCACATTCACAAACCTGGGCAAACTGACAGTAGCTGTGTAAAACTGGGGCAATTAGTGTAAAGATGGCATTAAAAGTAAAGTTTTTATAAAGGTCTAGTAAATGTTTCTATAGCTGTACACAAATATGTTGTAATGCTTGACTTTGTAATTCTGCTGCTCACAATTACAACATAATAGATGGACATTTTGGGAAATTAGCTTACTTGCCTTCTAACAGAGAGTTAGACGAGAAGATTGCTATCACTCTCATGGCTGCGTGGTAATAGCAAGGGATGGCAGTCGGTTACCTTAAAGGGGCTATTTGTGAGTTTTTTCTGCCA